GCACCTCCTTGACTCGCCCCCGTGGTCCCTGAGATCCACTCCATTCCGCTCCCCATGTGTTTGGGATGATCCTATCGTAGGTGGACCTCCCTGTATAGGTAGTATATGGATCTCCCCGCGCTGCTACATTCAAACAGTACAAAGCTGCATGGGCACTTGCCATGGTTCTTATTAGATCTTCCACCCTTCAAGTGGGACAGGGGGCGCGCTCCCTCGCCCAATCCCGTGGCCTCTGTCTTCTTCTCTGGCCTGACACGTCCAATTCGATCCAATGACCACGCTGGAAACTGGTAGTGGGGGTGGCAATGTGTCAAGGGATGGGCTATGATTGCAAGCTTCCTGTTTCTCGCTTCACAAAGATACTTGTTGCAACCGCCACACCAACCCCTTCAACCGCTGCGCCTCTCTTTTGCCGCCGGCGCTTCCACCTTCCTGTTTCCAGCTTCCTCCTCGCAGGGCAGATCACGTGGCTTCCCCAATTTTCTCGTATCTGATCAGAATTGACGTGGGTGTTTTCAGAAATCGTGACCCACAAGCGTTCTCATATCCGCATGTCTGGTAGGTACGATGTGGGTCCACAGGTGATAGTCGGAATCGCCGGTCCTGCCGAAACGCAGCCAGAGGCACGGCGATCTTCAGGACGTCCTCCACCACGTCGATCACCAAGCCACGCCGCGTTGCTTGAGCCATCGAAGCTCACAACGCGTTCGTCGAATGCGAAATGGACAGACAAGGATGAAGAAGCATTCTGCACTAGGACCCCCCAACGTGACCTCTTCCCACAGTGCCGCATGAAAATAAGAACCCTTAGCGCAAAAAAAAGAAACCATTAGCATAAAAAAAGAAACCATTAGCATAAAAAAAGAAACCATGAGCATAAAAGAAAGAACTGCACGCATAACAGAAAAAACCTTGAGCATAAAACAAAGCACTGTAAGCATAAAAAAAGAAACCCATACTCCAAAAACCCACCAACCCCGCTGTGAGCATTAAAAAAAACATTAGCATAAAAAAAACCAGCCCAATTTAAGTCTGTCAGGGCCGTGTGCATGTTGCGCCAACCCACGCACTTAGCACACAGCCGTGGGGCGTGCGCCTGATGCGAGCGCACCGCTATAAGCCAGTCTCCACCAGCGCGCCGAACCTTCACGAAGGCAGCAAACCCATGCGGGCTTGCAGGTTGAGGTGGTGAAGTCCGACTTGTCTTCTCATCCGAGGAATGCACCACGGCACGAAACCCAAAAACAAATGGTCCTGGTTGTATTCATGGGCAACTTAGATCCTTGCATCACAACAAAATTGGTTGGGACCGGGACTCCATCCGTTTGTCACAAAAAAACTCCGTTGATAGTGACACGAGAATTTTCAATGAGTTATGAAAGAGCACTGAGACTCACGAAGGAGTCCGTGCAAAAAGGAAACTAACTTCCTGACGAAGGTGATAGTCCGTTCTTCGAACCGTACCAACTTCCCCACACCAGCTGTCACCACCTCGCCACACGCAAACTTGCAACCAGGCAGCTCCTCAGCTGAAAGCTTCAGCGAGCCCCCGCCGACGCTGTTGCCACAACAGGTGCACCACCGCCCCGACGGCATGACTAGGTCGGAAGTGGACCAACAGAGGTTAAGTGACCTTGTAGGGCCCTACTGGGCTAGCTATAGGATAGTCTATAGTGTTCTTCAACCTCTATTGGGAAGCATGCGCTTTTCTGTGTATTTCCTTGTTTGAAGAGCCAGTGGCTCCTGACCTGAGTGTTTCCTTGTTTGAAGAGCGAGCGTGTTTCTGAACTGCTTGTGTTCTTCCATGGAGCATGTTCACCACGGTTCGGTCTTGGAGCACGACCGGTCGGTCCTTGCCTGAGCCACGACCATTCATGACAGACGCTTCGGTCGGGTCGCTTCGCTTCGCTTCCAGCCGCTTGGGAGTGTGTTCACGAGATTCCCAAGTATCGGGCTTAGGGGTCCAGCAGGACAGTTCCCAGTGCTTCGGTCCACAATGAGAATGTAGGTGTTTTGCAAGTTGGTGTGCTTATTTTTGGGTGAGTGAACGAACACCACAGGAGGGCTACTACCAACCCGTTTCAGGGGTGGATTTCTCAAGCCAAGGTTCCCTTACTTCACTGTGCAGGAATCCACAAGCCTGCCACAACCCCACAACCAGTCGCTCGACGGACGGTCCTCGAACCAGTTGCTCGCAGTTGTTGGACGGAAATGGCTGCGGTTAGAAAAGCGAAAAGTGCACCAATCTACAACCCAGGATTCCATAACCATTGTCATGAGTATTACCATTGCCATTAGCATTGCCACACGGCAAGGGTGAATGGCCATTACCGGCACCATTTACCGTTGCCATTAGCACTCCCACTGCCATCAGCATTAGCATCAAGCCCCCACAGGTCACAGGGTTAATGGCATTACCATATTCATGACCACAGATCAGAGGGTGCATCAAGCTCCCACAGGTCAACGGTGAATGGTTGTAACAAAAGAAGGCTCCAAACTTCTGTGGTAAGCATCCAGGACAGATTACAATACCATACCCAATGCTAGACCTATTGCAACTTGAAGCATCAAAAAAGTTACAAAACATTGGAAAACACACACCCGCATAGCGTCCCGCTCTCAAAATTAAAGGCAGCTGCAAATACAGTGTTAATATGTGTTAGTGTATGTTAGTGGGGTGCATTGGCCTGCACACGCACCTTGCACGCACCCCGTCTGACACTTGGATAATTGTAGGCTTTGGGCGCCAATCTCATTCACCATCATTGACCGACTTCACCACGTTGCGCGTTTTTTGGGTCCTCGAAGGCCTTCCGCCACGCATCATTGATACCCATGTTCTGCGCATGCAGTTGCCTGAGCGACAGCAACATGCCAAAAAAAACAGGCAGTGGCAAGAGGGAAAAACGAACGTTCACAACAAACCTGCAGAACCCCTAGGACCTAAGGACCAAAAATACGAATTCAGGCAGTAACATGCCCAAAGGTTGCACACCCCAAACCCTGGCATTTTGGAGTGCCCCAATGAGCACCTTCTGCCACGACTCACCTTCTATTCAAAAATCCTCGCGCACGAACAACACCGGCCAAAACACACGGTGACCTGGTCAGATTTGGAGAAAACAGACCGCTTCCGATGTGCATCCATGTGGGTGTGCGCTTCAAAGCGCGGCAGACTTCCCAGGCGTTCCGACCTTGTGGAAGGTTCGGAAAATAGACCAGTCTACGCCAGGTTGGGAGGTTCTCCCCCCTTATAGAAAATACAAACCCAGGTGTTTCCGTCCCGAGCTCGCGGCTTGAGAAGTCTGTCCAAGAAGGTGAGTTTGGCACTCTGTGCGATGACCTGCCGTGGCTGGCCCGCAACGAAGCCACCATCACGAAGCCTCCGTCGATTCATCATCAAATGGCCCAAATGCCATTTCTGCAATAAAGTTACGTGTGGCATAAACGTTCATTCGCCAAGAGGGGTCGCGCAGACCTTTCCACAGCCACAATTTTGGGGACATGCAAGATTCACTTTAGAATGCAAGGACCTCCAGCAGAAAAATACTTATATACAAAAGACATATTTCATCCTTACAGATTGGAAGGACTTCAACCAAAAAGTATATCATTATTTCTGAATCTTGGATTTACTAATGAGTATACAATGACCGTACCTCTGGGGGTCTTCCGGGGACATGTGGATGTGTGGCGCATACATAAGTTTGCTGCTTCAAGGTGTTGCAGAGACATAATGCTACAACCCACAGATTACCGGTATGAAACAAAGCCTTGCAAAGCACAACAATAAAAGATCGTCACTATGATCATCTGCATGAATTTGTCTGAGTTTGTCACTGCTCGCTACTCGGATGTTCTTTGCAGAACTTAAATGAATACTCGAATACCGTACTCACCTAGTCAGAGATAAAACTATGCCACAACCAGTTGAGCTCCCCTAAAAAAGTAAATGGAAGCTATTTGAGGTTGAGGCTGGCGTTGCATTGCTGGCATCAAAATCAATATGATCATAAGATATCATAAGTATAAGTATTTTCTGTGACATCTGTGGCGCAGGGACTTCAGATTGTTGCCCACAGCTGCACAGCACGCCCCTTTTGCCGCATGCGGCTTCCATGAAGCGGAAGAGCTGCGAGGCCTCACACACGACGGTCACTCCAGCGGCAGACGACGGTCACTCCATCGTGCACGCGCACCAGGACGATCTGCTCGTGGCAATAGACGCACGCACCGGGTCAAAAGAACGTATCCAGTTAGAAGATGCCGTGATATGAATTGCTTTTGAGTTCCCGTAACCGTTCGAATGATCTCTGGGACATTCGCTGCAAACACGGAACGCCCGGACGCCGCGGCCCAATTCATCCAAATTCATTGGGCTGTGGACAAGACACAAGCCCAAACAGTGTGTGGTGCTGTCCCTCATCCATGAGCTCTGTAAAAAGAGCGCTTCCACACCATGGGAAAACGACTTCTTTTGGATTTCGTCCATTTTGCACGTGTTTTAAGTTCCGAATATGTTCTGATAAGCTTGACGAGTGTAGTTGCGTCGGGGAAAAAATCAAAAACAACAACGCGAAATCTAATCCAGAGTTCTCTTTGGATGCAAATCCATGGGTGTCCACAAGAAATGTTCTCCATCTGTCATCACATTCATCATCTGCCAAACAAGGATGGGATACTGTAAGACAACACTTATCAAACGTCCAAATCCCATCTACCTATCTTGGCTCCCAAAGTGTAGATATCCACAGACCAACCCCTTGGGCCAAATCGGGTGCTTTCCGTCCCTGCTGGTGCACTGCCATCCTCGAAGCCAAAAAACGGCCACGACGCCCATCAAAGCTGGGTGCCCCAAACCAATTCGCGTTGGCCTCCTTGAAGGCCTTGACTTTTGGGGCGAATGGACAGGGAATGACAGGGAGATAGGTTGGGGCGAATGGGTAGACAGATCTCGACTCGGTTCGGTTCTGGAACCCCCAACCTGGAAGGCAGCACATGTGTTGGGGGCCGAAAAAAACACCAAACGGATGCCTTCCATGGAGTGCGTTCGGATGCCGGAGAGGCTTTCTCTTTTTCCGTCCTTTCTCGGATTCTCGGTGGTGGGGCTCAGGGGTTGAGACAACGAGACAACGAGGTCGAGAGCCTCACGTCTTTCTCGTGGATAAAAGGGGGCTTTCCATCCCAAGGATGGGGTACATCTCAATGGAATTAGACATGAAACACCTGGCAGAGGTGTGCGCCTTTTTTTGCTTTGCACGCTTCAATTGGATGGCACATTGTGGAGGAACACCGCTGGGTGCTAGCTCTATAGATCTATGTTTATATATTATACAACTTGAGAGAGGAGGGGGGTGAACGAAAGGTAGCAGGGAATCAGGCGTAATCCGGGAGGAGGTGAGAGGCCCCCCACTTGTTTGAAGAGAAGTGAGTGAGCGTGATGAAAGAAAGACTAGTGCACAAACGCTTGACAAAACCTCCAGAAGCTGTAGCGGTCTAGCGGTTTCAATACAGGTTGACGTGCCTTCAAAAGGAGTCACATATTTCTCAAATGCAACTTCGGATTTACATAGTGACGTGCGGCGACCCTGTAAATTGCGTGGCCGCAGGCCATGCTTGCAAACAGGACGTGCTCAAAAACACTGGTATTTACGAGGTTTCGTTGCCGTCGATCCACAGCCGCGGCAAGGTCTAAGGCCACGCTTGAAGACAGGAGGAGCTGAAAACACTGGTATTTACGGTATTTTGTAGCCGTCGATCCAAAGGCGCACCACGGTTGAGCGCTGGAAAAGCGCAGAAAACCGTGTAAATACCGGCGTTTTCTGCCGGGAAGGTGCGCAAAACCCTGTAAATACCATAGTTTTGTGCAATTTTGAAGCCTCCAAAAGCCTCAAAAACCCTTTCTGACAAAATCTTTCCTCGTTTTTGGTCTTTTTTCGGTCATTTTTCTAACCGAGACGCATCAAAAACCATCGGTTTTTGCGGTGTTTTTTGCCGGACAGCCACAAAAAACGCTGTAAATTCCATGATTTTTGGTCACTGCTGAGGACTGGAAGAGCTGAAAACACTGATATTTACAGTGTTTTCGAACGGTTGACCCCGAGGCGCGCTAGGGTGGAGTTGAAAGGGGGGGGGGGCCCCCGTGCCTTCGACGGTTCGCGACCATTTAGCGGCTTCATTTTTAGATTAGGTTTTTTACTCACACCTGCGGTCTTCTGAGTCGACCCCCCTATAGTGGGCCACACAGCAATGTCCTTTATTTCGCATTTTTGCATAGTCAGTTGTCTATGTGTCGCTGTGAAACAGCAACTAACGAATGGTTGAGCACTGGATAGAGTACAACAGCTTGTCTTGCAGAGTTTAGCGCACTTACTATGGTTCTCGAATAGGAGTGGTCTGAGAGGAGAAATTTACATTGGGAATCCGACGTCTGGTTTCCGTGCTCATCGCCCGCAGCATTCAAAATTCGGTAGTGGTCAGAGTAGGACGCCTCCTCCGGCATGTCCATTTTTGTAGGTGCCTGGCATTGTTCCGTGCTCATGAATCCAACCTCAAGGCTGAAAAAAACCAAAACATCTTGAAACTGGATCCTATTGATACCCTTAGCTTTGTCTGCCACTGAACTGCCCAAGAAAGCAGCACAAATCATCCTGCTGCGCACTCTGCATCGATTCCTTGATCGGCTGGATCGGTTTGATCGGACAGATCGGCTGCATCGGTTTGATTGGGCAGATGTTTGGTCCAGTGTTTGGGTACACGGAACGCCCCAACCAGACCTTATAGGTTTGCCCATAGTGACATACTGATCTGCAGCGGCGCGGCCAGCTGCTCTCTGCATGGTGGATTTGAAATTATAGTACCTACTATTGCAGTCTGACCTGAAGTTTGTGCCAGTCATGACATACTGATATGCAGGTGAATGTTACTATCGTATCTAACATTGCATATTGATTTTAGTTTACCGACTGATATGCAGGGCGCGGCGCAGCCAGCTGCTCTCTGCATCTTCGATTTCATGATTCGCGCGCAAGCGGTCACCCGTGATAGCGCCTTAAGTCCTAGAGACTGAATGCATGAAACTTGTCAGATTTGCCTAGTCGCTCGATTAGGACTCACAGGTACGGTTAATAAACGCGACACAGTAGGCAGGAAAACGACACCAAGAAAATGCAAATGATACAGCGCAAGAGGAACGCATTATTAGCACCACGGGCCTTGAAACACACAAATATATATATATAT